GGTTTTGCAGATAGAGAGCAGGATTAATTGTCTTCTTGCTTTGCCCTGGTACAACCCTATTACAACATAAAGAGTTGAAGGGCCTAGTCATGATGCTGGGGGCCCCAAGAAGGTAATACAATCTTGGGTCGGCAATAGGACACTTCTCCAAACGGTCTCTGTGGTTACACCTATAGGTAAGTCTGTACTGGAGTCTGGGTGTGCTTGCAACAGGTGTGGCCACATGAGTTGGATGCAATTTGGCTAGCTCAGGTTGTGGTAGCAGTGAAGCCATAGCCGTGTGGACTTGAGGACACGCTAGCTGCCTAAATACTCAGGGACCTGGATGGGTTGTGCAGCCCAGATGGCTAGGGCTTCACCGCTACTGATACCTGCGCTTGCTCGGTACGCGCTGGTGCGCTGCAAAGCTTCCTTCCCGGTTGCATTTTCTGTGATTTCCCCACAACCCATTGCCATCTGTGGAAGCGACCTGCATGGAATGAGTGCAGGGCACATCCCGGAACTCCGTTCGAGGGGAAGTGATCAGAGCCTCATCTAAGGATAAGCTACTTCTAGCGCCTAAGATGGTGTAGCTATCGAGCCGTGCGGTCTATTCATTGCAAAGAGCGCTACCCATGTGCAGCATCGTAGGATCTGGTCTAAGAGATCTCTACCATCGACACCCACCCACAGTACTTTACACAAACATGTAGAATAGTGATAGAAATGTAGCCGTGTTAGTCTGGTGTAGCTGAAACAAAAAACAGGACTATGTAGCACTTTAAAGACTAACAAGATGGTTTATAAACCATCTTGTTAGTCTTTAAAGTGCTACATAGTCCTATATTTTGCTTTAGGATAGACATGTAAAACAGACAGACTGCTGAGCTGTGGTTTGTGGTAGCAGTGAAGCCATAGCCGTGTGGACTTGAGGACATGCTAGCTGCCTAAATACTCAGGGACCTGGATGGGTTGTGCAGCCCAGATGGCTAGGGCTTCACTGCTACTGATACCCGCGCTTGCTCGGTACGTGCTGGTGCGCTGCAAAGCTTCCTTCCCAGTTGCATTTTCTGTGCTTTCCCCACAACCCAAGCTTTTGCGGAAAAGCATCCGTGCCAATCTAGATGCTCTGTTCCGAAAATGCTTTTAACGGAAAACTTTTCCATTAAAAGCATTTCTGGAAAATCATGCCAGTCTAGATGTAGCCCTAGTGTTCAGCTCAGAGAGGGTGAAAGATATCAGCAAGGGCAAATTCAGCCTCCTATGCTTGTACATTCACAGAGGGCAGAAAAGAAAGGTAGGCAAAGTCAGGAGATAGGGACTGATATTTGAACCAAGCCCATGTTTGTGTAACAAAAAACAGGACTATGTAGCACTTTAAAGACTAACAAGATGGTTTAAAAACCATCTTGTTAGTCTTTAAAGTGCTACATAGTCCTGTTTTTTGTTACACAAACATGGGCTTGGTTCAAATATCAGTCCCTATCTCCTGACTTTGCCTACCTTTCTTTTCTGCCCTCTGTGAATGTACAAGCATAGGAGGCTGAATTTGCCCTTGCTGATATCTTTCACCCTCTCTGAGCTGAACACTAGGGCTACGTCTAGACTGGCATGATTTTCCAGAAATGCTTTTAATGGAAAAGTTTTCCGTTAAAAGCATTTTCGGAACAGAGCATCTAGATTGGCACGGATGCTTTTCCGCAAAAGCACCTTTTGCGGAAAAGCGTCCGTGCTAATCTAGACGCGCTTTTGCACAAAAAAGCCCCAATTGCCATTTTCGCGATCGGGGCATTTTTGCAGAAACCAAATCTGAGCTGTCTATACTGGCCCTTTTGCGCAAAAGTTTTGCGCAAAAGGACTTTTGCCCGCACGGGAACAGCATAGTATTTCCACAAGAACACTGACAGTCTTACATGAGATCGTCAGTGCTTTTGCGGAAATTCAAGCGGTCAGTGTAGACAGCTGGCAAGTTTTTCTGGAAAAGTGGCTGATTATCCGGAAAAACTGGCCAGTCTAGACACAGATAAGAGGAATAAGGGATCTTTCAGAAAAGGCTTTATTTTCCGAAAGATCCGCGTCTAGACTGGCACTTTTTTCCGGCAAAGCTCTGTGCTGAAAAAAAGCGGCAGCCATTTTTATGCTAATGAAGCGGGGGAGATTTAAATCCCCGCTTCATTAGCAATTGCGATACGTCTAATTTGCATCCCTTTTACGAAAAAGGGATGTAATCTAGACGTAGCCTAGGGGAACACAGAGGACAGGGAAATTCCATGCAATGATTAAGTGGTGCCCAGAATTACTCCCTTGAAGAAGTCCATGGGCCAAACCCAGCACAAGCAATAGCTGGCACAACTCCAGGGATTACTTTGTCCCAACATCGTGCCACCTAACTGAAGGCAGAATCCGGCCCAATGAGTTCAGGTTTACAATGGGAAGTGGAGGGATTGCCTGGCACAGAATTGCAATTGCTTCCAGACAAAGATGAATAATGGCATTCCCCTTTCGTAATAAAGCCCAGTGATGCAGCACCCCGTTCAGGACTTAAAGCTTTTTTTTAAGTACAATTGGAGATCTCTTGTTCTCAGCCCCGTGGTAAACCAAACATGGAAAGACAATTACATCTTCCCCTCCACATGCACGCAGAGTTCTTATGACTCCGCTTGCCATCATTACTCTACCTACCTCGAACTAACAAGCTAGTGTAGCCATACCCTATTTCAGTCAATCATGTTACACTGATGTAAAAGCTGGGTGAATGAGATTGGAACAATAGACATTACAACAAAGATCACTGCAAATGGTTCTTTATGACGAGAGGGTTGGGCTGAGGAGAGGGTAGGAGGAAGCATCTTGTGCCAGATCTCTGGCAGAAGGTTTCTGGGTTCAACCTTGCACAGGTTGACTTTGGGTCAACTCTGAACTGAAGCTGAACCAACCATAGTAGATGTGGATGTCATAGGCAGACATAGAAAATCAAGGACTCCTCCCCCCCAAATACGCAGGTGTGCTCCCCATGACAGACCATCAACCATAGCACCCCCTACTGCTCAATTATAAATATGAAGGAGCCATCACTTGAATAAATCCTGCTACTCCTGACAGAGCCATTTGGCTCGATCAGCTACAGGCAAAATTGTAGCTGCTGCTCTGCCTCAGCCGTGCGGAAGGAGGAAGTCGGCACCGTCATTGCTGATGTTGCTCTGAGAAAGGAGCTAAGGGGAAGCAGAACATTTTTCCCATGCTACAGAGGGCAGGACAAAAGGCAGTGGGTTCAAATGGCAGCAAAGCAGCTTTAGATTAAATCTCAAGGGAAAAGATTGTCCTACCTGGTCTTTGTTCTAACTATAAGAACAGCAGCAAAATGGGACACATTGCCTAGGGACCTTGTGTAAGCTCCTTCACTGGAAGTTTTTAAGGAGAGGCTGGCGATCCATCTGTCTTGGATGCTTTAGACCAGTGGTCCCCAACCATTTGTGGTTGCCGGGTGCCAGGGGGCATGGCCGTTCGCCCGCTGGGTGCCAGAGGGTGGGGACACTTGTGCGCCCGGGGGCGGGGCCCCAGCGGGGCCCCCCCATAGCCGCATGCCTGGGGGGGCCCCCCCCAAGCGCTGCA